ATAAGAGAATGCGTCTTGAACACGCTCGACGATCACAACATAACGTCTAGATCGTCGAACTCGACGACGAAAATAAAGATAAAAATCTCACCATTTTTGAAGATTGAAGTTTGGTTGAGAGTTGTTCGAGAATACGACTTGCGTTAAAGCACTGACGTGGGAGGGAGCAAAGAGTTAAAGCGCGGATGGTCCACCATTACCCTTTATAAACCTTCTGGGGTGGCGGTGCCATGGGTCCGCTGGACCCCATCACGTCATCACGTGACGCCAAATGTATTTCCAAGTCCGACACTCAGACGCAATCACACTTGTACCGATTAATTTCCGTACTATTCATACCGTAGATGCTATTTACAACACCGCGACGATGTTTACACTTTGCGAAAAGCGACTAGGGATCGCTTCGTCTCCTTGATCCCAGCTTGGGCGTAGGTTGCTTCTTCTCTAAATCCAATTTCCTCAAGTATACGAGGAAAATCGGTTGGTCGGAGTTTGAGTGCCTTGTATAACTCTGCCATTTCCTATCAAGTTATGTCAATGTTTCTGCTTAGCCAGGGGGGGTGAGCCATACCGGACTTATCTTTCTCGCTTGCGTATAACTATCCCATTCTTGTGGCTCTAATATTAATAACCCTCCTCGGCGATTTGACTCCTTTCGCAGGACACTATGGATCTTTCGGAAGAATGCGATCAGTCCCTCATCTCCGTTATTGATATGGATCCATTTTGTGATTGAAAATCTAGGAATAGGTTAGGATACTCCATTAGTGCAAATAGCGGGCATACGCAAGAACGACATCATAGCCTTCTCGATCCTCTTTCTCCATCGCCGCATTACTACTTTCTGCCTGCCCTGTTTCGGCCTCGTTACTCAGGACCACATTTCTCGTAGACTTCATCCAATCTGCTGTATAGAATGTGACATTATGTGGAAAGGGGTGATGTATCTCGGGTGTGACATTTTTTGAGGAAGGCGGTGGCATAGAAAGGGGTCCGAACATGTACTCCATAGACTGAGGAAAGTAAGCAAATACGTCCGATCGATCTGGTGACAATTCGACATTGGAGAAGAAAGCAGAAGTCGGGTCTCTGCTGACGGTGTTTTGTGAATCCATTCGTTTCCTTTTCTTACTCCTCGCAGACTGGTCGTGCTCAGACCCTGAAGGGGATGTGGCATCTGTTGTTGAAGGTGAAGTGTTTTGTAAACTCCAAATAAACCTTCTTCTTTTCCAAGCTCCTCCAATCAGGCTAGCATCGATATCAACACCAATGATCTTTGCGGGAGAGAATCGTTGTGCTAGAGCCAAGTACGAAACATTAGATGAAAGATAGCAGCTGTATCACCGCTTACCAATATCTATCGTCACCCATCCCTCATTACAGCCAATGTCCAGGACTCTCTTCCCTTTGAATGTATCGGGAGGAAGTAACAAGAGACGTGGATCTATACTTGTCGATAGGTTCACCCGTTTATAATAGTAGCTGAGGTCGATAAAACAAAGAGGCCAACATTAATACAGCTTCACCCGCGCGGCGAGGATTCATACGCGTGATAGTTGCCATGAATAGGATGCCTTGATGTTTCTCCAGTCAAAGACATGGGTGGATAGGTACAAGAGCCGTTATCACGGCCGAGCTGGGTGGCGAAAATAGGGGTGGTTGTAAAGAGTGAGATGAGCGGAGCGTAAACCTTGAATTTCCACTAAACCGATCGTTTACACATTCTCGACCTTTCCCATCACCACTCCATAATCTGAAATAAAATGGTTAGTAGTTTATAACAGATCTCATTTCATTTGTGATCCACTGTATTACCTTGAATGCTGACATTGTTTGTGTGCCCTCTAGACGAAAGGTGCATCCACTTTACTACAGCGAAACTCTAGGGCCAAAGTTCTAATGACATTTTATTCGTCGTAATCGTGACAACTAGGTACATCATCCTTCGGTAAACGACACACCAAGTCGCATACGCTCTGCCGCCGATGTGGACGCCGTTCCTTCCATCGTCAGCACAAGAGTGCGTAAATCCACTCAACCTCACATTCAATAACTAATGATACCCTTATAATCTTACTCGTTTATTTGTTTGCACCGGCCATGATCAACTTGCACACTTGAACGTCCGGTCAAAATAGCCTGTGGATCTTGTGGTTACCCATCTGCTAAAATCCGTTCGTACGAGTGGGGACAAAAGGCTAAGAGGAGAAAGACCACCGGAACTGGTAGGATGAGGTACCTCAAGCACGTCTCGAGGAGATTTAAGAATGGCTTCCGGTATGTGTACCCCTTCCATCCTACTACTCTACCAGTATTATATGTGCCTGAATACTGACTACTTCTTATCTTTACAGGGAGGGCACTAACGCTGTTAGGAAGACGGCTGCCAAGGCAGAGTAGATTGTCTCCTCTTGACTTGTCATTGTTATCCCCGTGTTATGAGGCGAAGATGGTTGTAAAGACATGTATATGCTTGCCTGCGAAGCGCAATCCGAAAATCTTACAGCAACTATGCCACTCCATGTCTTTTGCATTCTGTCGGCAATATGACCCCCTGCATGCCCAGAAGCTTCGCGGCGAGCCGTCTAAACGAATAGTTCATTGAGATCTGAGGGATTAAGAGCCGACCGGAGTTCCGCTTGAGTACAACTCTTAACCGACAAGGTTTGAAAGTGCGAGCGCCACTGCATATATCTTGATGTCTGCCACCACCGCTACTGAACCAACCGCGACTTTGGATAGTCGTGACCAAGAAACATTGAAAACGCTATTGGAAACCCCTGTCAGCTCCCTGTCGTTACTCAGCACACAACTTGCTAGTGTGCAAGGGGACACGCCTTCCGCATTGGCCGCTAGGGCAATAGAATTGATTCACACCTGGTCAACGGAAGATAAAGCTGCATTTATACATGGGCATCCTCGTATCGGAGAACAATCCAATTTATCAGCATTATCGGCGGCAGAACAGGCAAAGTATGCCACCCCTCCTGAAGTCTTGGAGCGACTGCGAGTCTTGAACATAGAGTATGAGAGGAGGTTCCCAGGTCTCCGATAGTGCGTATTAAACCTTATATGAACATTATCCTCCCGTGCATTTCTTCAGGAGACATTTATGCATGGCACTCATCCAAGTCTCTAGCATAACCTTTGTGGCTGGCCGAACTCGAGCACAAATAGTACAAGAGATGGAAGAATCAATGGAACTTAAAGAGAACCGTCAGCCTAATAGTGAAACTCCAGCGCCCCTTGGTCCTGGAGATGAACAGTGGGAGGCAGAACTCAAGAGGGCAATTGATGATATTGGGAGGATAGCAAATGATAGAGCTTCCAAGTTACCCTCTCACTAGTGGACATTACCTGCAAGAGACAAGCTAGGGAAATGGCTACAAAACTCGGTGACCGGACGTGCGGTCAAGCGCCACGATGACGAATACTTTCCATACGACGAATAGATCTTGAATTGGTACATGTATGAACCATGACTCAGTTATTCCTGATACTGTATTGCCCGGTGATTAAGTATTCTGCACCGAACATTCTTTTGACCGGCCTGGCGCCTGTGCAAGCCATAAGATGACCAACATTACAGCTCTTTCTATCATATTTTGGCCAGTTGTTCTTGTTCTGATGGCTGGCCATCTTAGATAAGATATGATTTGTAACCGGAATGGTCCCCTCCTCGAGAAGACCTTCATCTCTCTTTTTCTACCCGCCCATCACACCACCGCCCAAGCTGGCCCCCCGATCTCCTCCAAAATATTGAGCAAAAAATCTACATAATACATTGAAATAATCGTGGCCATCGCTCATGATCTACTCGTACATGCCGCTTAGCAGCGATAAGCTGACGCCAGCTGAGGGCGAGGAGAACTGTCCACAATGTTTGCACGCGAGCCACCAAACATTTACGATGACCAACAAGACAGTCGTTGATACCTCTCAATGTACCGACCGATGTATTGTTGTAGCATGTGAGCCAGTAGAGGGCGACTCAACAAAAACCGGAGGCGCCTGCACAGAAGAGGGCTGCGACGCACTGTGCCAGTCTTTTTTTGGGGATCCTAGTACTTGGACGTGCGATCAAGAGGACTGTAACTTTGAGGAACTGGTATGTACTGTTTCGCGAGGCGCTATGTCATCCCTGATCGTACCTATGATAGTTACAATGCTGCCTTAATGATGTATCTCCTATTTGTGATCAAGCAGGCACACCACATTATCCTTCAAATTGGACATGGGTAGAGACCTTCCCCTCAATAGCCAACCACGATAAAAATGTAGAACATCACCCCTATCACCCATATCCAGTCCAAGCGGTCCACAATACGATGCCTGTTCGGCAGGATGCATATCAACACCACTCACATGGCCATATCATTTCTCATGATAACCATTTCCCGCTATCGGCAGGGGGCCCTGCCTGTCTGTGGGGAGACTGCCACGAGACCTTTCCTGATCGAGCTACATTGGTCCAACATATCCAATACGACCACTTTTCCCACTTGCAATCATTATATTCAAGTAGCAACCTCGCCGCCGGTCAACAATCTCACGTCCCTCTTAACCAGCCTCACCTAAACGCCCTCACAGCCCCGAATTGGTCAGCGGCTCAACCACTTGCGCGGCCTGTAGCGTGTCAATGGGGAAATTGCTCTGCAACATTTGCTCCTTCCAATGATGGGAAGATCACTCAGCATGAAGTCATTCAGCATACATCAGAACCGGATATTGATCTGTTACTGGCACATCTATTCACGAATCACGTTCCTCAACCGGAGGAAGAGACCCCGACCCCAGGTATGTGTAATAACCTCTAGCATAAACGTTTTACTAATACGACTTTCTCAGTCCTCTCTCACACGACATCCCACACATCCTCAAACGATTTGAATGACACTTCGGTAAGTGCTGTCCTCTTTCTGTTTACCCTCTTGGCTCAATAGGACATCGATTTATTATAGTCTATCATTACATCACCTATAACCCCTACCAGCGGAGAGGCACCAAATGGCACTCATCATGCATGCAACTGGGCCGACTGTAGCCAAACATTTACAACAGTCGATGAGCTAACGGATCATATAGCCGAAGTGCATGTAGGACATGGAAAGAGCTTCTATGACTGCCTTTGGCAAGGATGTGATCGTCACGGTGATAATGGTTTCCCAAGCAGACAAAAGGTCCTAAGACATATACAGGTGGGTATTCTGCGACTTTTGTTTTCCTTGTCCTGATTTTCGTGTTGTAGAAACATAGCGGCTACAAGCCATATGTTTGTAACATCTGCAATGAACACTTTGCAGAGTCCACATCATTACAGCAGCACATGAGACGGCATACCCATGAGAGTGAGTGAACTTCATTGATTGACTATATATTTTTCATCTAATCGTATCTACTACAGAGCCATATGTATGCGACTTTCCCGGGTGTGGCAAAGCATTCGCGGTGCCAGGTGGGCTCCGTATACACAAGCGAGCGCATTATGGAGAGAAACCATTCAAATGTCCAGAGCCAGGATGTGACAAGGCATTTGCAGAGAGTTCCAATCTCGCAAAGCATGTAAGTTATCTTCTCCCCTGTCCGCGTTCTCTTCTAAATCTACCTCATAGATGCGCATACATACTGGACTAAAACCGTTCCACTGCTCACATCCAGGGTGTGGGAAGAGCTTTGGGAGAAAGGACCAGCTACTGCGGCATACCACCACGCACAAGTCTAAAAGTTAATCATCAATCGGTGGTCTCCTTTATACTACGATAATGACCTAATCGTTTCTCCCATCTTGACCAAAATGTTCGGGCATGTAAACATATCTTTATCGAGTTGGAGTTGATTGACATGAAATCCAACTAAGGCCTTAATGAGGCTCGGATGTACGAGTACAACGAAGGGTGATGAGCTTGACTTCAAGAGATAACTGAACACATACACTATATCTCATTATCGTGATACAAAAACAAAGTAAACAATAAAGGGGCAACCCTGACCTCATGAATGTATGGAATGCCGGAAATTCGAATGCAAGACGTTACTTTGGCGAATTCGATTTCCTGTTTCATAAGAACTGCATAGAGTATAGCGTGGGGTTTCATGCTTCCTCCAGGTGGATGAGGACTGAGTTGAGGAGACGGCCCTCACCTATCATATAACAGAAAAGACAACGTGAATTAGATGTGGCAACATGGAAGTGGCTTTGTTTATGAGACAATGGTCGACACTGCACGTGACCGCAAATAACTTGAACACTCACCACCAAGACGAAATCCTACAGTCTCCTACGGAAGATGCATCACTATACTGTTCCCCATAATACAATCATCCCCCATCGTTTACTCACCAGCTCATTCAAGGCAACTATCACACCCGTTCCT